GAAATGGTATAGGGTTTCCTGCCTAGGCAGGGGGTTGGACTAGAAGACCTCCAAGGTCCCTTCCAACTCTGCTATTGTATTGTATTGTATTTGTACCCAGACAATACACTGGTTAATAGAAAAATATCTTGCCCCTCCCCAATGTGATATGAGCCTCAGCTCTCTTTTCATAAGGGCCTAAAGATATGGCTTTGCCAGTTGGCTTGGGGATCCAGTGGGAGAACAATGCAATGGAGATGGTTGATTGAGTAATAACAGATCCCACCTCCCCCTCCATCCCCGCCCTCCCCACGTATCCTAGTTTTTCATGTCTGATTTTAACTCTTCATGTTTTAACTGTATATGTAACTGTAATCCAACTAGAGTTGCCCGTTAGTAAGCTGGGCAGCCAATAGACTTGATAAATAAATAAAATAAATTTTCTGATTCTTAGTCATGCACTAGCTGCTCTTTGGTTAAAACTGTTGACTATGTAAGTTTTGTACATTTATATATAGACATTGTAGCTTGCGGTAAAATAAACCAGGCATTAAATTTATATTCAGCCTTGGAACAAACCGGTTTTGCAAACAATTTACTTTACATGCAAAACTATCTTAGAAGGATCTTCACCCTTGACTGCTTCTAAAGGAGACAATGGCTATAATATGTCCTTTTGTTATTTCCCCCCCTTTTAAAATAAATTAATGAAATATGCAGGTGGCCTTCCTCGGTAGTGGCATTCTAAATGCTAGGCTGATTGGTTACGTTTCAAACCCGGTTTTCTCAAATTGCAATAATGATACAGTAATTTCAGGGAAAGATTTTAGGGGAGTGTACAGAATGCTTAAAATTCATCAAATGGGTTGCTCCTTTGCAAAGCTAATTGTGAAATCTGGCAGGACTGTGTGAACTGCTCCGGATTGAAATACTAAAGATAACTTTCCATTTATTTTTCTTCTGACATCTTTTTTTTTAAGGTGGCATGTTTATTGCAACAGGAAGCACAGACCACATCATCCGAATATATTATTTGGGTTCTGAATCTCCTGAAAAAATAGCAGAGCTGGAATCTCACATGGTAAGGATTAAATCCCAGGAAAAACTTGGATTTAGTCATTTGATTTGAAGAGAAGATTTTGGTGTTGTGTGTGAGAGATGCCCCCAAAACATACAATTTTGGAGAAGAACTCTTGGCTACCCTACATTTTTTCCCCATTTCGGAAATCTTATAGGAAACCTTTTCCTATAAAAATATAGTATTTGCTTACCAACCCGTGTGTCAAGCTTCTTCAAAGGAGTAGAATGCTCATTGGTTATTAAAGAACGATTTGGTGTTGTGAGCCATTTCAGTAATTGTAATGTGGCCCCAGCAAGCTAATGTTTCAGCAAGTAAGAAAATACAAATATAGTTTCACGGAGATGCAATGTCTTGTAATTCTACAATGCATAGCAATCTTTTCTGATCTGGACATTCTTCCAATACTTGGAATTCGGATCCCAAAATTTCCAAAAGCATACGCGTTGGGGATCCTGGGAATTGAAATCCACACATTTGGAAGTTTTGGGGAAGGTTCATGAATCAGAGAATGACTGATGGTTCATGTGCCAGTAGAGACTGAGTTGCCTCTTGCTCGAGAACATATTCCCCACCACCTGAGAATCCAGCCCACTGCATTCTAGCACAGGTACTATATATGTGGCTGCACTATCATCAGTTTCTACTGTTGGTCCTAGAACGTTCCACCTGCAAACCACAAATCAATGCTTAGTAGTCACGATCAATGAGTACCTATGCTAGAATGTCGTGGGCTGGATTTTCAAGAGGTGGGGAGTATGTTCTAGAGCAAGAAGCAACTCAGTTTAGATAGTTTGTGTGAAAGAAGGAAGGTAGAGACACTCCTCCTTAATGGTTCCCAGAATATGTGTTTGATGTAGATCAGGAGTAGTCAACCTTTTTATACCTACCGCCCACTTTTGTATCTCTATTAGTAGTAAAATTTTCTAACCGCCCATCAGTTCCACGGTAATGTTGATTTATAAAGTAGGGAA